ATTACTGTTTCATTAGAAACACCGACGCAGCTCACACTAGTTTTTAGCTAGTTATATCTTCTTTTTACCATTTTAGTTAATTCACCTTTTCGGCGCTAATCGTCACGTGGTATAAATTGTGTTGTATTGTGTTACGGTCACCAAGRAGTTCGGACATTGTTCTCGGATTTCCATACAAATGTACTGACTTTAAATGAACTATTTACTTGGTTTGTTTAGTTAATTCTCTAAATACAAGTAAAATATCATTTTTCTAGCTTGATTGAAGCTTTTCTTATTGCTGTTAAGAGAGCAAACTAAAGAAATCTATCTAAATTTCTCTTAAACTCATGTGAATTTGTATGGGAATCCGACAACGATGTCCGACCTTTTTGGTGACCGTAACACAATCCAACGAAGTGTTTAAATAGCAGRTGAGGGGAACTACAAACGTAACAGAAAACGGAAAATTGTATTTGGAATTTAATTTATATTGAAAGTACGAACAAAGCGGTCAAATGACTGTCCATTTGTATTAGTCAGCAAAGGCAGTGCACTGACCGAAAAGCCGTTTTACGCGTCAATTCAAATTTATTTGATATCGCGGCCAAACAGTAAATAACTTGGATGATCTAGTTTACGTGTCCTCAAATATCCATATAGCAGACAATTATTCTAGATCTTACTCAAGATAGTAGCCGTTCATATATGCATGAACTCACCCTTCTCAAGTGGTTTTACGGGTGATCAGTGCTATTAGAACTGCTGCACACTTTTCCCGCGCTTTTTCATTACRTGCATGATGTAAAGGGGCGTTATGTAAACTATAGAAACGAAGAAGAAGAATACTTTATAGACATAACGACTCAAAGATGAAACCCATTTATTTTTTTTATCAAGCCGACTTGATCTTACATTATTTTGCGCCTTCGCCGCGAAAGGCATTTTTTGAAGAAAAAAAAACATCTCTTATATGGCTTGTCAAAACATTTCATAGTAATTTCGCTTACTGAATTATCATTCAGTGCCCATAAATATGCAGGATAAAGGGATTCTGTAGGTTTAGTTGGCCTGCATGGTAGTGCTTTGTACCGGACAACTGTGGGGATGGGGGGCGAACTAATAGATGCCATCTTGAAAATATGTCCTAAATTAAATTATATGCACTGCTATGCCAATTTGACCTAGATAACTTTGCGGCAATCTGCTTTTGAGTTCCCCTGTACAGTCCGCTGTAAGCTTCCATCAATACCATTATTGTATGTCGCGACGTAATTAAGGGAGGGTGGAGCTAGCTTATCACGTGACAAAAATTAACATCTACGCATGCTCTATTTTGTTGACTGCTAAAGGTGTTCAAGACTGAGCATAGCCACAAWTCTTTAACTTATACCTTAGTAAAGGATTTCCAATGTGATGCGSCAAAAACACTGAACTTCTAAATAATTAACCATGCTTTAATTCAGTCATCCAGGTTTATATTCTCTTGGATATCAGACCCTAGTTAGTAGTTTTAACCGGCTTACAGTGCCAAAACCAGCCCTTTGTCGTAAAACAGTGTTTTGTAGCAACTGTTAATCATTCGATTTGGAGACATTCAAGCAAGATTAGTTTCTGAATAAATCTGTCCATCAATATGACAATATCCTCAAAGYCCTGACAGAAAAACATGCACCAATATGTAAGAAAATTATCTCTATTCGTCCACGAGCACAATGGTTCACCCCTCAGGCCCCGTCCACACTTTGCTGGATAAATTTGAATCCGCAACTTTCACAACGAAACCGAAAAAAAAGTTTTCCGTCCACACATGAAAACGGATAAAATGTTTCGCGTCCACACTAGTCCGATCAGAGGCGGCAAAAACGCTTCATTGCGCATCTRAGCATGTGCATCGAAGCTGAAATTGAGCCTGCGGTGAATTTTTAGCCCTCTCGCTATGTTCCCATGACAATCATGACGTCATCGTATTCGAAACATTTCGGATACGGAATATTCTCCGTCCACACTAATACGGCTAGACGGTGTTTTCAAATTGTTCCACTCTGGAGACCGTATTCGAAAAAAATCGTTTTCGGTGAAGRATTGTTCCGGATTCGCCCGGACTAGTGTGGGCGGTAGGCCTAACTGAATAAATAAAAATTCGGATTCAAATTTATCCGGCATAGTGTGCGGGGCCTCCTCTACTCCTCTCCGGGTGCAGATGAGGACATCCAACTCTTCAMGAACAGTTTGATTGTTACTTTCAGCTTGTTTGCACTACCAGGCAATTATTTTACGACACAACAAGCTAGATTTAAGGAGGCTCTTGGTAGTTCTGGTCTGGCACACCTAGCCGCACTTAAACAGCTACAACTTCGTCTTGAATAACTCGATCTGCAAGCGCTTTTCACACAATGTCAGGAAAGGATTAAAACTTTCAAAAATGATAAATTAGCTTAAAGCGGCCTTTTCATTATGACGTAATGATGACATCATAGAAATCGTTTACCGCTTATTTTCTCGAAAACTAGACCTAAACTTCCAAAGCGACTKGCACCAGTCATTAGTATTCATCAAGGCACCCAACATATTGCAATATGAAAAAAATGTATGAGAGCGTTTTCCAAATATTACGCGRTGAATATTTTCATGGACTTTTACTATTATTTCCAGCGTGTCAACTTTATACCCTCAAAATCAGGACTTTAATATAGTGGATTCAATATTTTTAGTAGCTAGAATATAGGTACGGATATAGACACTGTCCTTATTGWGTATGAATCAAATTGTACCTTTCTTTCTAACGTTATGGATTTTTTGATATGAAGSTAAATGACCCCATTTGTTGCCAAAAGCGATAGAAAATATCGATGAGAGCGGCATTCAAAAAATCGTCGAACCGTTTTTTTTTTCTAAATGAAGTCATTAAAAGATGTATCTTTTACAAATATTCTCCTTTAATTTCATATGAATTGAAGGGTTTTAAGGCAGTCAAATGAAAATAAGTACGCTCACAACTATTTTCGCTCACGGCTGCTTGTTGATTATTCACGCTTGACTTCCGTGTTATTCCTTGTCGTGTGCTGTTAGTTGTGAGCGTACTTATGCTATCGACTGGTGCAAATCGCTTTGGAAGTTTAGGTCTAGTTTTCGAGAAAATAAGCGGTAAACGATTTCTATGATGTCATCATTAGTCATAATGAAAAGTCCGCTTTAAACTAATTTAYCATTTTTGAAGTCTTTAATCCCTTCCTGACATTGCGTGAGTGCTTGCAGATCGAGTTATTCGAGACGAAGTCGTAGCCGTTTCAATGCGGCTAGGTRTGCCAGACCAAAACTACCCAGAGYCTCCTTAAGAGAGCACAGACGAGTTGTTCCCTTTAATGGACAAACTACTACACCGGAAAACTGAACCTCAGCCACCTGCTCACAAAAATTTGAACGAACTTACCAAAAGATCTGCTGAKTTTGTTGTTGTGAGAAGATACGTAATATTAGGTCTGGCCTTGCCACCATTAGTTAGAAGAACTCCTGTATTGAACCTGATCAGTCCCTGATATTGATTGGTTCAAGATGACTGACTTATCTCCAGGGTCTTTGGTGCACAGGGGTTTAGAAGTATATGAATCAAAGATAGGTATCTACTGTAGTTTGGAAAATAAGGGAACGGACGACTAAGAGAAGTCAGCGTCAAGGAGTGCACACGCAGCCCGTTTTTGAAGACGAAGGAGTCGCAGTAGAAGCTGATTCGAGTAATACCCCACGTCCAAGCTGCAGAACAATATATGAAGTACTTCCCCAGTGTTTATAAAATAATCATAGTATCGTAAAGTAGAAATTACTAGTTTACTAGATAGGGTTTGATGCGACTGACGTAAAAGAGACAGCCTACTACTATAATGATGGAACATTACACATGACAATGCGATGTACCCAGAACATGTGTTACTGTCTATCATGRCACCAAGAATCTTGTTCAATGCTTCTAGACTATATCAGTTGAACATTGAGTATTGAGTTAGTTTATGTTATTTGGTTTACTGCTGCAATTCCGACTGAGTCGAGCCGGAAATTTACTAGTAGAAACATCTAATTTTGATCTATTATTCATGCTTTGATTTAGTTTTCAAAATAGTATTAGTTTTTGCAGGACATTGAAAATCGAAATAGCGAAATATCTTGCGTACATAAATAAATATTATTTAACTGAGACCCTGACTTGAAAGGCCATTCTAGTCTTCCTACTGTCTTCCTATCTCTCGTATCCCACCAGACTGTATGACGTCACCCATTACCCAGATTGCTGTTAGGTCAGCGAGAGAAAAAAACATGGCCGAGTTTCGAGTGAGTTTGTGCTGAGAATATTATCCAAGTCAAATTACTAGAAACGATTATTTACCTTGAATACCAAGCTAGAATTATACCCGCAGGGCCTTAAATGAGCATATATATCAGTATGGACTCCCTCAAAGGCTTATTAAACCTGGTAGGCCTTCGTTTTGTATTTGTAGCTCTATCAAAAATATGGACGCTTGTTCTCTACGTTCTACGAAGCAATCTCAAAATGGTAAGCTTTTTTTATTTTTTGCTTCAGTTTTTGCTTTAATAGTGGTGGAAGTTCACATTGTGCAAAGCTGGGCTGTATATTTGTATTCGTGTGGTGGCTCAGGGTTCTTTCGGTTTGGACCTTGGCGTTGAAAACTCGTACTGTTCGCAGCCGGCGAAAGTCATTACTTTGTTAGTTGTTGGATGAAAACTTTAACTGTTTTTTCATAACACTTCTCCTCTTTGCTAAGCTAGTGGTTAAATTACAGCAAGCTTATATAACAAATAAACTACCTAATAGGAATTGCAAATGCTGAGTACAAACTTAGAATAAACAAAGCAGGAAAGAAGAACCGTACTTGTTTCGTTTCCATTTTCGAAGAAGTGTTTGCTTGTTTTGATTGTTGTAAAACCTTTTCACATTTAACAAAAGTGCAGTATCTGTTCGAATTGTACATATGCAGTCTTTTAGAGGTGCAAAAGAAGATTTGATAGTTTAATACAACATAAATAGAGCCACTGTGGCTAGATTTCTTGAATAAGGAAATCTAAAACTGAAAACCGTTTTGCCGGTGTTTCTAATTTCCTTCGTGAAAATAATCGCCCTGGTATCAGCTATGAGGAAAGCTTGCAAATATATATATGTTTAAAGAGTTTGAGCCACACTGCAAGTACTTTGATTTGCAAACAAAAAATTTGAATAGAAGTGTCAAAAAACTCAGGTTCTGAGATGCAAAATTTGCATTGTATCTTGGTAACTAAGCATACAGCTTTATCTATATAATAAATTTGGTTAAAAATATCATTCAGGTTTTTTCACAGCTCATGTTCCTGTTCTTAAAGGAAGATTGTGTAAATATTTGCATAAGCTGAAATAAGTGCATCTGATTCCAAATTCAAATCTTGGGTTTTTCCTCCATGGAGACGAGGTTGGACATGCACGATGCTCCTTATAAAGCGGTGCAATAATATATATTTAGAGCCGTTTTTGGATGAGTGGGAAACATTATGGCAAATTTGTAGCCATACTGCGACCATGCCTAAATTTACCGTYATGTGGATGTTATTTTGTTGCAGCAATGAAATTTATTAGTCTGTTTACTGTATATTCTACTAATCTTGATATTACTGGTTCATACATGTATAAGTTGAAAATGCTTGTGCATAGAACTTACATCAAAGCCATAGTTATTTGAAAAAAAACAAACAGCCAAATAAGACAGTTAAATAATAGGTTAATTACAGTGTCAAGTTGTTCTAGCACTTTAGCACTAAATGGGGACACTTTTTCACTCAAACACACTACCACTACATTCAATGTTCTAAGCACACAATGCTAAACATGTTCTATTTCAGAGCTCAAATTTATATATATTTTTTTATTGATAGATACTGGTAGTGGTCTAATAGCCAAGATTTTAGAACACATTTAGGGTCAATATCAGTTGTGAATGTTTGATTTAAGACTTTACTGTAAACTGTAAATCCCTCACTTGCTCAAGGACTCACTCGTTCTTGATATGGGAATATATTATTATGAAGTTAAATGTTATCATATAGGGAAAACAATTTGTACAAATCATAACTGAATGGCTTCATGGCAGTTACAGTCAAAGCGTATAAAGCTTACCCCACTCCGTTCCATTAACAGTTTCATTATTCAAATATTGCAATTTATTATAATCCTTTTTGAGAATATGAAGACTCTGGATTCAAAATAATAACTGATTCAAAACTTGAATTCTCATTGGATCATTCCATTTGAGGAAAAGTATAATCCAATCAGAATTAGAATTTTGAATCCGGTATTATTTTGAATCCTGAGTCTTGGTTTTGGATCATGAAATCCATGAAACTCTAAAAAAGTTAGTGTTGAGCACTGGTGATGCAAAGTTTCATTTCAATTTGCAAAGCACTGTAGGATAGGGATATGCACCAGTAGATCATATGACACTGTGACTGTAATATAGTACGCACACATATTGCTTGAGACTTTTGATTCAGGGTTTTTAAGGTTAATTTTTTTTGTTCCTATGTTAATGTTTATTTCAGGTAATTCAGCATAAGACTATCAAGTATGATATATATCCATTATCACCATTATCTATAGAACGACTTAGTAAGTATCTTTAGTGTACCATATATATTTTGTACCATTCTAGTATACTGAAACCTTTGTGTGTGACAATCRAAGCATATCTCGGAGGTGGGCTATTAGAAYGCATTATTTTTAGGATATTGGAGCAGAAAGAAATAACTATATTGTACCTGTATATACTGTGGTTTCTCTTCTGGTCTTCCCTGAGGTTTCTCTGCATTTTATAATGACTTATTAATTTCCTCTCTTTACGAAAGTTGATGTCTAAATTACCATGGTTAATACAGGGCTCGAAATAGCAGCCTGCCAATGGCCAAGTTTAAGATTTAAAGGTTTAAGGCAAAAATAATTATGAACAAATGAAAATTTATTATTACAGGCACAGTTTACTGGACATCATCTTTCACTGTTTTTTATTTGGTGTTCATTCCTATTCACAAATGAATCGCCTTAATTCAAAAAATATTACCGGTTGAAAGAATGTCTCTTGACTTATACTCTCCATGGTAAAACCCTCCGTTTATTTTTTGGACGCATAAACATGTGTACGTATCATCACTTTTCAATCTTAATACTCTTACAGAACCAATATCTGTATATATTCCTTTTTACAATAACTTACAAATTTCTCGTGCGCCGATTGGTCATTTTTTATCATCAATGAGAGGACAGACAGATACAGTAAAGCTGACGTCAATGAGCGCACGCTCTTTCCGTTGGTTGTTTTGATTGCTAAAAATGAGAAGTTTTTATCGTTTTTGTTATTGTAAAAAAAAAATAGACATCAGTTTTTTGTATCTGTTCTCTTGTTCACCATAAATACCGTCATCACATTGTCAAAGTAGTATGCGGATCCACTCGCCTACGTCTCGTGAATCCACACTACTTTGACAATGTGATGATGCAATTTATCGTCAATAAGAGGACAGACACATACAAAACTGATGTCTATTTGTTAAATTTAGAACCCTGTAATAACACATATTATAAGCCAGTATAATCTTGAATGTTTCTTTCCAGAACTTGTAAAGAAAAAGACATTGGTTCTAGATTTGGATGAAACTTTAGTTCACACACATCATGATGGGTAAGAATATCGTATATTTTGTACTGTTGCTTGAATTGTGCCATGTCTTTGTGGGCAGGAATGAGATGTCTCATACTCTTGAAAATATGATATTGTTTGAGTTATATCCATATTAATGTTATCCCATTCCAGCCCAAACCATTCCTTAAATAAGTATGGTTTCTTGTTTTTAAATGGTGCTGCTTGTAGTACTGCTTGGGTATCATAATTCAACTAAACAGACTCTCTTATTCTTAAGGTGTTTGTACAGTATGTGGGATAAATGGTGAAAAATTATGTAAAGCAGAACTGTCGGAAGTGACGCAATGGCATTATCACTATGCAAATTGAGTTGAACATTGCATGTGAGAGTGCGAGAGCAAGCGAGAGTACGGTACAACAGGTTGATTTGTAAACCTACAGCCGATCCGAGTGTGCATTTGCAACATAGCAAAACAGTCTATTATTATTATATATTTATTACTATTGCAGCTTACATTATCTGCTGTTGTGTTGTTTAGGGGGTTGAGGGGGGGGGGGGGGGGGGGTGAGTTACATTTTTTGTCATCTGGTTTTGGAGTAGTAAATTAGTTGAGAGAATCTATCCTCTTCCAAGAAATGAGAACACCTACAGCTATATGTCAGTTGATCTTCTGATTTTTCCACAGTGTCGCAAGACAAACAGTCAGACYAGGCACTCATCCAGATTTTACCATGAGGGTAAGAGTATAGATTATTATATAGATCTTATGTTACTATAGACGCCTTGCATTGATTTCATAGCTGAGAAATTAACCTTTTCGGTGCTAGCCGTAATGGAGTATAAATTGTTTAAGATTGTGTTACTGTCACCAAAAAGTTTGAAACTTGTTCTTGAATTTCCTTACAAATGTATAGACTTTAAATGAACTATTTACTTAGTTTGTTTAGTTAGTTCTCTAAATACAAGTAAACATCATTTTATTAGCTTGATTGAAGCTTTTCTTACTGCTCTTAAGAAATCTGCACCCAAATTTTTTCTTTAAAGTCAGCGAATTTGTATGAAAATCCGATAACGATGTCGGAACTTTTTGGTGAAAATAAGACAATTCAAGCTAGCGCTGAAAAGGTGAATTGTTCTTGCTGAGAACATGCAAAAAGTATCTACTGTTTTGTCCCACAGAAGAATTTCTCTCTTGACTCAATGCAAGGGGTCTATTCATAGGTGGTGATGAAGATAAATGGGTAGAGGGTATACCTTATGACTAACTTGTAAAATGTTATTAGTTGAAGGAAGTGTTCATCATCTATGTAGTAATCATTGTCTATTCATACAGTGTACCTACAGTACACTATAGGGGGTAGTTTGAAGGGTAGAGGATACATTGTAATGACTGACTTGTAAAGTATTATTGGGTAGTTTGAATGTTTAAGGTGTGGTAAATAGGATTAATTTTTAAATATTTATATTATGAACACTGTTAGAAAGATAGTTCGTGCAGCTACAGTATTGAACAATTATTCCCCGAAGGCGAAGTGATTATCGGGGAATGTTTACAGAGATGTGAGTCTTCGAACRGAGAGGTAAATATTCCCCAGTAATCACTCAGCCTGAGGCAAATAATATTGTTTTAGTATAAATACACAGGTTATTCTTTCAAAAAAAGAAAAAAAAGAAGATAAAAGGCATTTTTTCCTGGTAACAGCAACAAAGCGGCTGGCCGCCATATTGTTTTTTCGCTCGAGGTGATTATCTTGTGATAGTGTGAGTTTCTTGACCAATCAGCTCTCGAGATTTTCTAGAATCACCTGCGTATTTTTACTAACAGTCTATATTGCATGGGAAGAATATGTGTACATCTAGCTCAATTTACTAATGTGACACTAGAGCAGCAGATGCTGTAAACACTTAAAGCTTGTTGGTAGTACTTATAGAGAACCTTTCTGCTAACCATATGCTCCATGTTCTTTTTAACTTTACAGCTTTCAATAGATAGACATCCTGTTATGTTTTCAGTTTACAAAAGACCACATGTTGATTTTTTTCTTGACTGTGTAAGTAAATTGCTTAAGCTAATTATTATTATTATTTAGATCTATATGAACAGGATGGTAAAGGGGTACGAATCACATTTCATGGAAACAGGGTGGTAAAGGGGTACGAATCACATTTC